CACCGGACCTGACTCCGTTGGACTTTTATATGTGGGGTCACTTGAAGTCCGTCGCTTATGAAACATAAACATTGAAGACGACCCGTGGGAACGTCTACTGAATGCGTGCCAGATGATTCGAGGAAACCCTGGAGTGTACGAACGAATTCGTCAGTCGTGTGTACGTCGTGCTCGTGCATGTGTGGAGAATGGAGGAACAACCTTTGAGCATATTTTATAAATAAACATCCCTGTCCTTATATTTGGCAATAACGGCGTACATTGAAACTTATTTTTGGTTATTATTTTGAAAGTTTGCGACCACATGTTCATAGGAACATTTTTCTCTCATGTTTTTGATCCAGGAACACGAACACGAAGTTCGTAAACATACTTTTGACTCACTCTGTATTACACTGCACACAGTCAAACAGCCTTTTGTTGACAGAGTAAACTGAGAGAAGCCATGTTATTATAATTTACATGCACGCTGAACATTATATTCCTCTAACTTTTTGTTCACAATTTCCATAATAATTGACACATTTATTCCTTCCAAATAAAACATCTCCCATTTTTAAATTATTCATTATCGATTTTCAGCACTTTCAAATAAAGATGATAACTTTCTAGTGTCAAGAAATTTGTTCGTTATATCTATAATCTGAACTGATATCGATATCGAATACGTGTTATCCGATATCATATGTGTTTATCGACGTCAATATCTCTAGTTTATACTAAAAGATTCAAGACTTGCTTTCGAGTATTATTTAAAAAATAATCTACCAGCATATTTTTTATATTTCCGTTGTTAGTTTACTGATATTTGCTATTCCCAATTGTTTTATATTTCCATTGTCTTCAGGATCCGCCATTTCGTATCCAGCGATCGTACAGAGCTGATGAATTTCCGTGGTCGTCATTCGTCTCATCTGTTCTTTAGATAACGTCCAACATTTAGAAGCATAGATACGGATTTTCTCTATAGAATTTTAGTGTCATTTGCTTTTAAAATTTCTCTTGTGTGTATTTTATAGTTCCAAAAAGCTATTCATGTATATTTAATTATAAAGTAACTCATTGGATCTAAAATTATTTTTCTTACTTCTCTAATGTTTTATTGGTTCTATATAAAACTATTTTAATGTAGGTTATCGATTTATTTTATAGCATATTTAAGATCAAACAAATTCTGTAGTGTAGAATCCCGTTGAGTTATGTTGATTTTTTGGTTTTTCTGGACATCGACAAAGAGGTCCTTAGTGAAAGCACGTAGAAGCAGGGAAATAGACCTGAAATGGTAGCATTTGTTCGAAAAATGTTATGAATTGAACGGAATGCGTGTGAAAAACAAATAAATCAAACAACCTCACCATAGAAAGGCATTGCCTACACCCCTCGTATTTTGTTCTGTCCCAAGTTTAATTTTCTTTAATAAGCAAGGCCTTATAAAACAATGAAACTTAAATGACGATTTCAGTCAGAACCAACTCATGTTAGAAACCACTAAAATTTGAGGAGAAAAAATGTTGTTTTACACGATTCGCTGTTGTGATAAGACCCCCCCCCCAATTACATTATATAAAGTACCCACTTTCAGAATATGCAAGGAACGAAACTCTCTTAAAATGTAACGCGTGTTGCTTCTGCACTAATCGACTTATTACATATGCAAACAATGTTTTCGTTACTTAATTACTGTTTGAGGAAAATGAAGTTCTTTCTATTTTATAATGAGTAACTTCTGTTATAAACGTAATTCACATTAGAATAATTATTATTTAGTGTTCTGTCTGACGACAGGTCCATATGAACCGGATCCTTGCATCCTTTTCTCGGACTGGGACCTGTTCATATACGTTCTTGGCAGATGATCCAGAAGTGGTTTGCCATTGCCTTCTTCTGTGTGTGAATGGAGTAATTGTTGGGATGCCACGGAGGAAAACTCCGTGTTGCCTACACCACGGCCTTGCCCAACACAAGTGATAAATTCGGGCACCGCCGGGAATCGAACCCGAGACCCCAGGATTCCAAGGCCAGCGTTCTACCCGCTAGACCACCTCAGCTTATTATTATTTAGTGTTCTGTCTGACGACAGGTCCATATGAACCGGATCCTTGCATCCTTTTCTCGGACTGGGACCTGTTCATATACGTTCTTGGCAGATGATCCAGAAGTGGTTTGCCATTGCCTTCTTCTGTGTGTGAATGGAGTAATTGTTGGGATGCCACGGAGGAAAACTCCGTGTTGCCTACACCACGGCCTTGCCCAACACAAGTGATAAATTCGGGCACCGCCGGGAATCGAACCCGAGACCCCAGGATTCCAAGGCCAGCGTTCTAACCGTTAGACCACCGTGGCGGTTATTAGAAGAATACAGAAAATTAATACATCAACCCATAAGCAATGTTAAAAGGCGGATGATAAAAATCTGTACATAATATAAGAGCTTAAACTTTGAAACAGTCATAACAGGTCTTGTATGCGAAGTACAGTCCGGAGAAATTAAAGGGAATAAGACGCATCCACGGTTTGATAAATTTACTTTTTAACTTCTACGTCAGGCCAAATTCTTGGGTCGTTCACTCCAGGAAGTTTCCTCGTAAAATGTCAACAAATGGCTAGAAATGCAGGAAGCTACATTTCCAGTTTCTTTATGTATTCCCATTTGTTACTTCGCCTCCACCTGAGGACACACTTTGTCCACAAGAAGGTGTTTATTTATGTTGAAGATGGCTGTCTTCTGTGTTGTTGTGCCGTGTAGTCTGGTAGATGTTTACAGGTGTTTCGTAGGTGCTTGCTGCCTCCATCATCAGGGCGATAATCTTACTCGTCGTCCTGATGACGACGGCAGCAAGCATCCCTGAAACGTCAGTAAACCAGCAGATTACACATCGCAACAACCCAGAAGATAATCATCTTTGTACTCCCAGGCGTGAGAACCTGAAATCTCGCTAAGTTACTTGTTTTATTTTTTCATTAATCGGTTCAGTTACTTGTAATACCCATAAAGAATCAAATTTTCAAGAAAAACGTTTGTGCAGAATTTGTACATCCATTCGAAGTGGGCTTGATTTCTCTAGCATTATTCCTTTCGCTAACTTTTCTGAGTTTATAACTATTTGCTTTTTATCATAACTAAGCTACAAGTTAAATTTCGTCATATTATTACAAACTCATTGTGGTAAGGCAACGAGCGTACTTGGACACCCCTATATTCTGATGTGTACATTACTGTTTCAAGTGGGTTCACAGGCTAATATGCGTTAGAGCGTTGTGTTGATTGAATAATTAAGCCTCTCAAGTGGTGTGATGTGTTTTGTAAGGGAACACTTTGTGGTTCGGTGAAGGACCCCGAAGACAGATTATCTGTTACATAAGGCATTAACAATGACCAACACATCAGTCCATTAACTCCTTTAGGTCTGACGACCCCCAATGAAGACCAAGGGCAAGAAGACACTTCAAGATCAGTTCAGTTCAGTTAATTTCTTCTCACTCAGGCTAGCCAACTGCCAATCACAACGTAAGCCGAACAGAGGACCGACATTGAGACTGATGTAGATTTGTAACGTGACCAAATTCCTGCTTTCCAGACTGTTGGCTTAATAATTTTTACTCAGTCCATCCAACAGAAATGGTGTCTTCAAATAGGCAGCTTCCTACAAATTTAGTCACCTTCATAACATCACTGTAGTATTCAGTGGTTTGCAACCCTTGCGGTTGAATATACATCGATAAATAACACTGAATCAATCGATATTAAAATATCGTTCCATATGAACAGAATTTTAGGTCAACAGCAGCTTCGCTCATATCACCGTAAAACTTACCTAGAATATTTAATTTCTAAAGTAGACATAACCTTACATATTTTCTTTGCCTCGTTATCATTCATGTTCCGATCCACAATGCTGTCCGAGGACAATGCCATAGAAAGTAAAATACAGATGAACAATGTCGCACAAAGTAACATGGTAACGTATTTTGTGATGCAAGTAATTGTATTTCTAATCCGCGTTGGAGGAGGATCTATTGCACTGCTCTAACTTGTTAGCAGTGGGTCCTTTGTCACAACGGCACAGCGAGTCCGTCTTGTTATGCAGGCGGAGAAGAAGACGTTTTACAGGTATGCATACACAGGAAGACCCAAAAATATACTGCAGGGACCAGATTACTTACGAGTTATTGGTGCAGGGGTGACGAGCAAGATGACAAGCACTGCGCGCGCAACTCCACGCTTTCCCGATCCGTTTCAAAAAAATGTCTGTGTGAAAAATAGCATCAGTTCCTGTTGAACAATGGAGTGAGAAGGACGGTCGGTTTTTTTTTTGGAATCAGCTATCATGCTGCCTGGCCGTTCCGTGCACAGACCAGGCCGTGCCGAGTGACACCAACGCACAGAGCCAGAGAATCCAACTAGCAAACAAGCTGGACAGTTGCACACATTCAATGTCATAAAGACATTTTAATAAGCTAGACCATTACATACGTCAGCATTGGCACCTAATAAATTAGGGAATATTCTGTATGCCGTTGGCAACAGTGAGCAACTGACTGTGAAGCGGCCAACGTATTACAATATATATACATCTTTCTGGGACACTCTCGTATAGAATGTGTACAAAGCAGTAACTTTGGTGGCCAATTGTTGTCAGGCTGTTCTGTCCCACGAAGCTAACGGTCGTCGTTTTGAATACCCACACAATATTTGCTTATTCACTGGCATCGTCTACGCGAGTAGAATGTTTTGTTAGATTTTAACAGCAAAGATCCTTTTGCATAATTACGGGAATCCACGCTGAATAAACCTGACTTCCAGAAGGCATTCGACCTTGCAGCTTTCATTACGTCACGGTCTGCTGGACGGAACTGCCATCGATTCGCCATTTTCCACTCCAGTTTCCTTCTCTCCAATTATTTTACATTTCCTGTTTTGTTTTCACCTTTAAGATTTATCATTTCGTGTATAAAATAATAATGTGTAGTCTCTCTTCGTAAGCTATGAACGCGTCATGTGCGTCTGGCTGTTTTATTTCCCAACAATTTAATAGATTTTTTATAAACTTTGTAATGTGGATATACACTAAATGTAGTGGGAAAATTTACAAGGTTGTGAGCTATGTTTTACATTGAGTTTCACAGGGAACATTAATACATGTCCATATTTCGCCACCAGACTGCAGAAGGAAATCATAATATATAAAGTCAGCTAAAAAAAATCCTTTAAACATTCGACAAATTTCAAATATTTGGGAACGACGTTGGCAAATCAGAATTTCATTCATGAGGAAATTAAAATTATACTAAATTAAGGGGAATAAAGTTAATTACAGTTCAGAATTTTTTGCCCCTTCATCTGATTTAGGGAAACATAAAGTTTTAAAAAAATAAAATTCTAATTTTATATGGGTGTAAAACGTGGTCTCTGGCTTTAAGGAAGGAAAATAGGTAGAGGATGTTTGTAACAGGATGATTAGGGTGATTATGAGAATGAGGTAAGAGGAGGCTGAAATGTTTTCAATAAAGTGACCATTTATAATTTTCATTTTTCATTAATGTGATGAAATGCGTACACAAGTACCATGCATTTGATATATCAGAAATTAATACAAAATTTCGGTCAGAAAACTTGAAGAGAATAGATTAATGTGGATACCTATATCTTGATGGAAGTATAATATTAAAAGAGATTCCAAAGCATAGTGTTTGATGATGTGAACTAAAGTGGCCGACAGGAACAAAGGCGGGCGACACGCAGAGAGAGAGAGAGAGAGAGAGAGAAATGCAAACTTCGACGTTTCCTTCGCTAATAATCCTTTAAAATTCCACGTTTCAGCAGAACGTTCGGGAGCTTTGGCGAAGTCGTGGACTGGCATTCCGTCTGCTTCATGCTTTAAGTATCTGAATACATCATACACCAACTATCTGAGCGAGCGTATAGCAAGTGACTGAATCTGATTGGCTGGCGCAGGCACGTGACAGTACATGCGCAGAAGCGTCCAAAGTTCAGCCACCATACTTCGTGTCGGTTGGTGTAGTTTCATCTGGATGTAAACACAAATATTCTGGCCGGAATCCGTGCAGTGGCGAATACAAAATGTGTGAAAGTTGAATAGGTACATTTCTATCTTTCCAGAGTCTGCGACTGCATCACATGCTACATATGTGATACTTCCACGACTCTCTCCGATTATAAGCGAGTATTTTTAATCTGAGTGGGTTTATTATTCTCCCCGTTACATTAAGGCTTTGACCGTGATGTTAAATCTTATGTGGTACCGCCTGATTCGACTTCTAATGGTTAAGTGGAGTGTTTTCTTCGCGGTACGGTCTGGATTCGTAAATATTATGAAGACGAGCTTCGGCTTCAAAGGGTTAACCAGCTGATTTTCGTAATGGTGAGGTGTAGTGTTTTCTTCGCGGTACGGACTGAATTCATAAATAATATTCAGACGATCTTCGGCTTCAAAGGGTTAATTATCTTCGGGCTGACATCCACAAGGACGTTCAAGTGTGACACTCGATTCAGTGGGTCACTTGTCTGGCAGAAACAGCGAAATACACGCACGTATGGATCGTTCTTACTTGCTTCTTTGATTATTTAACAACGATAGTCCAACTACATGCCTCAGTTTCCATTAGACTGTCCCAACAGTTACATGGTCCTTACACATGTTTCCTTAAATATAAATGTCTAATCTGATAGCTTAACCGTGTCCTTTATTAACACAGCATGTCTCTGGATGGAGAAAACGGTCTCCAAATTTGGAAGGTACGGTAGAAACGAATTTGTTGAATAACCAGTCGCAGACAGCCGACAGAGGGTGGTCCTTTAACTTGACAATTTGACGGGACCAAAAACCTCTTACCATAAGAATTACAGTTGGCTGAATGTAAGAAATGACTCACGATGAGTATCTGTGACGCGCTTTTGTTAACACGGCAATGAAACTTTGGTTTATGTATGAATCAATGAATCTGTTGACTACCTCAGCGACTGGTGGTAACTTAACGAATCTGATTCATGGCATCAAGTGTTCCTCAAAACAAAAGAACTGCTGATCGATCCAAAATTGCAAAGTACTCTGTTAGTTTTAAAATTATTTCATTTTGAAGCAAAACTTGCGATGTATATTATTATAAACCCAATACACTTCCTATGTACCTATATAATACGCAACGAAATCACTCCACTATCACTTCTAAACCTTTGTTTTCGTCTTGTGAAAGACTCTTTTAATTACTCTAAATAATTGCTGTTATTTATTTTTTAAAAAACGTCCCTTATTTACACTTGTGATTTACTCTAAATCTAGTTGTTTCACCTAAAATATTAACTTAAAGTAATTGTTCCCTAAGCAAATTAAAATCTCAAGAAATAAAAATAACAAGAAAACTTCTGTAATTATTGTTTTAGAAAACAAGACGTCCTGGGATAAATTCATACCGCCTACGATCCATAAAATAGGAATACATTACAATATATGGATCAGGATAGCATTGCCACTGCAGCGGCCAGGCCAGCCAACCAACCAAACAGCTAACCAAGGGCGGTGTCCTGCGCAAGCGCAAGACATCGTCCCTTTCTACGTTACATCATCCTTGCGTACGCAGTGACTTCAGAATAAAAGGTGGTGAACGCAAACGGAAATTTTGACGTGGCGGAAAGCACCGACTATTCATACTAAAGGCTTCAGCGGCCAGATTCCGTCGTGGACAACGGCAGTCTTTATAGCGATTTTGAATTAAGCACATTGCTTTTATTTTCATTTATAAACTGAAGACGGTAAGAATTAAACTCGAATAAATGAATATATGTTATAGAAACACATTGAATGTAGGGTATTAACTCTGCGTGTGGTAATAAAACGTCGAAAAATATGCAATTTTTCTTTGGGAAAATGATTTGGAGTTCGAGTAAAAACACAAAATGGTGAGCTCGCGAAAAAGTCATTAGCTCTATGACTGACGACGATGACCAATGAACTACTGTGGCGTGTGGTAATAAAACGTCGAAAAATATGCAATTTTTCTTTGGGAAAATGATTTGGAGTTCGAGTAAAAACACAAAATGGTGAGCTCGCGAAAAAGTCATTAGCTCTATGACTGACGACGATGACCAACTATATGGACGACCTTTGGATGTGAAATTCTGAATGGTAGATACACCCAAGTGTACAAATTTTGTACGAATATTCTGTACGTGTCTGCAGTTACAAAGACGGTGATGAAGCGAGGTCATATCTAACAAATTTAACAGATTACCTTTCGTTTCTTTACGTAAAATACCAGCCACAGTTTCGAACAAACTATATGGACGACACAAAGTTCTTATAAGAACCTGGACCTTGATAACAGCCTGTCGGGATTGTTATTACGAAATTGGTGGTCCCCTCCCCACGCTGCAGTGACGTAATCGTGATGCGGGTTTTGAGAGCTTCTACCACATTCCAAATGGCGTCACCAGGGCTCGCGGCTTCAGCTGTGGGCTAGAGCGTTGGAACATTCACTGAAGTATGAAATACCAACTGCTTGGAGACGCATCTTGGTACAGGAAAGATCTGGGGATTACATTCTTCGCCGACCACATCAGAGCACTGACTGAGAACTTGGACGGTCATGTCGGCGAAACGAGTAGTCCAACTACTCGGCAACCCTGACATATTTTCCATGATTTCCTCAGTTGAAATTTAAATTCCAGGGCAAAATACAAATGGACACGGCCCGCCTTCCTTAATCATGGAGGCCTTCAGTTGAAATCCTTCTGTTGCCTGACGGGATAACCTCTCATCAGCAGTAACAGACCCTCGTTCGAACACTCAAGCTATCCGCCACGACAAACATCCCGTTAGCGTAAGCCGGTTAGTTGCCGTTTCCAGCACTGCGTTTCGTACGGCAGCACCGGCGTAACCTACCAAGGGACGATGTCTTGCGCGTGCGCAGAACACCACCTTTAGCTTTTGGTTGGTTGGTAAGTTGCGTACAATTCATCTGTGAACCAGCGAGCCCTGTGTCACACGAGGCGTCAGCTGAGTGACAGAGTTCAATGCAGTGTGAATTTCGGCATGAAGGATGACTTGCGTGAATTCAGAATTGTTAAATCAGACTGCGTTCTGTATATCGAAAAATCAGCGTGAAATGAACAGATCTTTTGTTGTGAAGAACTCAATGTGTAATTATTGTTACACGCTACAGTTTGAAGGATCTTATCTGCTCTGTAGCTGGAGCATTGATTATTTGTGATGATTTTGATGTCCAAGCGTTAAAAAAAATAGTAAAACTATTCCATATAGAAATTAGTTATCACTTGTTTTTCATCCGATTTACAAGAGTAATCAACTTGATGGCCTGTTCTGTTTTTGATTAATCTTTTGTCAGGGTTGTCCACAACAGT